TCCTACATAATATGAACAAAGGACAAGACTTGCAAAAAGCAAGACACAATCCTTGAAAGAGAAGTGAACTTTGATGTGGAACTTTGAGTGAGGCATCAATTTGAATATGCCTAGGTCATTTGAACGAAGGTGAATTTTTTATGAGACACCATTCAATTTTTAGAAATTTGAATTCATGACCTGTAGAGGGGATCTTGGAGCATAACCTCATGACATTGCATTGAAGGCCAAATTGATGGGATTTTCCTATTTTTGATGATATATGATTTCTTTTTGGAGACACCCTCTCATATAACACTTTCCGATTTGAATTTTTGTTTTGATTTGGGGAAATGACAAAAAGAAGAAGAGAAATGACACATGGTCCAAATTATAGAGTAAACAAAGTCACTACAACTCAATCAAGACCAAAGTGAACTTAACCTTCAAATCAACTCAAGCTTTTGTCAGGCATGAAAAATGATTTTTCAAATGCTATTTGAAGTAACAAGGGAGAACCTTTGACATCATAGTGAAAATTTCTACAAGGTTTATCCACAAATTACTAACAATGTATGATAATCAAGAAATGCATATAGAGAGCAAAACAGTGCTATTTGATGAGTTGATAGACAAGACAGACACAATCATAGAGAAAAAACATGCTAGAACAACGTGGAAGCATAGTTGTTCAACCAATTCAATTAATAGCATAGAGACCAATAAACTGTTGCATAATTTTATGCCTTCGATTGTCCAAAGTACTTGTGAGATGGTTAGTTAGCTGTCTTTCAATTGGTACTAAGCTTAGAACAATCCATAGATCCTCTAATGAGGTGAAATTGTGTTCCAAAATGATTGATTGTTAAATGTTGGACAGGGTTCTTCCAAACGTCAATTTCTCACATATGGTTAAATTGAAGATGAATGACCAATTAATTTACACCAAGGTTATTGAACAAATACAACCACAACAAAAAGACACAAGTAATCATGACAAGAGCAAGATTTGCATTCATATAAGAAAGAGAAACATACCTTTGATTTTCAATGCATCCAGCAATCAACATTGTCTTCATCATACCATGAAATATCATCAACGTTTCAGCACTGAGGATCATTTCAATGAAATGAGGAGCATTGGAATTTTTAGTGGAGACTCCCATTTGAGACATCATATAGTGCATTCCTATGTTGCAAGATTCACAAATAACATTTAGAGAAGTAGAGATGTGGCAGCCCCCTTACGACTATTAAATTATCAGGTTCGTTGTTCCAATTTGACCATTCACTAACTTTAGGAAAAACAAGACTGTAACAATTGTCCTTTGATCTTGGAATAACCAGCAAGTTCATTCCATTTTCTTTTTCAATAACGTTGCAACATTTCTTGGAGAAACACATTTTATCAGTAACATCATATCAAAGCTGGCCGATGCTAAGAAAGCTTGTTGTCAAAGTAACCACATAATAGATATTTTCAAGCTAAAGGAAGACGAGGAATCTTGACTACCCTATTTCTAGCAATCTGAGCCATGTAACCTTCACCAAAACTCAATCTCATCGCCATTAACAAGTGTAAAAAATAGAAAGACATCTTTTTCACCATTCATAAGACAGGAACACTCACTATCAAGGTACCAAACATTTGGTTTTAGGACGTAAATAGCACATTGAGTGACCAAAAATTTATTAGAAACTCTTCAAAAATGACTTGGACGAGACTTGATATTGCCAAAGCTAGAAGAATGAACAAATTGAGTCATTTTGTTGACTTTCATGGTTAGTCTATCAACTTGATTCTTCAAGTCATTCTTCCTTTCTGAGGAACGTTTTCAGCACTTAGGTCGAATATGACCAAGTTCACCACAATGATGACATGTGGGAATAGGTCTTGTCTTTGAAGAAGTACTAACAATCGGAGTCATAGGCAAATATTCCTCCATAATCTATGTGCTTGTGCCCATGAAACATGAACCACTGTTCACAAAACCAAGATTATTCTTGGCACCACATAGACTTCCAACACTTAGCATTTTGTCAGATCATTTAGCACCAATAATCAAATAATCCACTTTGTACATAGCCTCAAACAATTCAAACGATAGCTTCAAGTTGACTTCATGGTACATTTCATTGTTGGCCCTCAACACATGAACTTGTTGTAGTAGTTTTTGTTGAGATATCATCAATTCCTGAACTTGAGCTTTAAGAGAATTAGTAAGATCACTTCTTTCTTCTTCATCATCAAAGATAAGAGCCCTTTTGTTCAATCCATGGAGCTAAGCATCAAGAAAAGTAACTTTCTCCCTTTGTTCCGTTCTGACTAGTAAGAGATACTCAACCTCTTTTTGTAGCTCAAAAACCTTCTTGGTTAGCTCAGCATTGTCCAATTTTACAACAAAAGTCATATCAAAAAGAGAGTCACACATGACAGATAGATCCGATGCGATATTTCTTCAATAACATTCTACACAAGTTCATCATCACTATGAGACACCTCTTCAACTAAGGTAACAAAGGCAATGGCTTTCTCCTCATCATCTGATGACCTGTCAGAACAAACAGATTCTTCATTCTTACTTTCACATCAGGTATCCAACATTGCTTTGCCACGTTTTAGATTTGGTTTCCTGTTGTTTGCACATTTAGCAACCTGATGTCTAATACCACCTCAAGAGAAACAAGATCCATGTTCACTAGTAGAAGGTTTGTCCATACAATTGATAATTCTGCCTTGCTTCCTACCAAAAGTGAAATTCCCTTGAGGTTGAAACATGAAATCTTTTGAGAACTCTCCAGCCTTTTTGACATCTATTTCTTTGTTCTTCTGAATTGTTTAACAAATGAAGCTAGATTATCTTTAGAAGATTGATCAGATGATCCCTTGGTGACCATAGCTTCTTGGACACTTTGAAAGGCAACATCCTTCCTCATTTTTGAGTCTTCTTCTTCCATGTCAAGTTTTGCTTGTAGCCTTCATGAATGATTCTAAGTTTATCCCATGCATGCCTTGCCGTCATACAATATCCAATGTAGCCAAATTGAGTTAGTGAGATGGCAGTGACAAGAACATTTCTTGATCGCCTATTAGTGATAGCCGATGTGACTTCACTTGAGAGAGCCTTCCATTTAATGGTGAGGTAATCAATTGCATTTGAATCTTGCGTCTTTAAAAAGATTTGAAACTTTTCACACCAAGCAGCATAGTCTATTCCTTTAGATTCCACCAAATATCAGTAACTCCCAGAGAACACTCTATGTATATCTAGAGCAAGGCTTTACTACCAATTGAAAGTAGGTACTAGGCGGAATATCCTGCAAATAAAAATTAACTTTGCACGTTAGACTAGTCAAACTAGTTAACTAGTTACAAGTTAGTCAGTGATATAAAAGTCCAATTGTAAGAACAAAACATAATTGACCAATACGTTCAACTAATCATAGTCTGCTTAGATTAGTTTCACAACAATAATTCCTAAGCTTGAACACATTTACATATCAGTTCATTATGCAAACAGCAATAACAAAGCTATTATGAATTTTAGTATGCTGGATTGACTAGTCAAGGTCACCAGTCAACTAAGTACAGATTCGTTAGTAAATCAAACGCAAATCTACAAATCAAACTTAGTTCACTACGAGTTATCTTAGTTAACAACAAATCAGTTCATTGCTCATAATAATACAGTTCAAACTTCGTATCTAACACATATCAAATAACAATTCATAGGATGCATGAAACATATGCAAGTAAATAAGATATGTGGACAAGCTTGAGAAACAAAGAACGCAAGAAGTTTTTGGCTGGAAAAACCGACCTCTAGGTTAAAAAACCAAGGACTCTCCACTGAGGCCAATCTACTAGTGAAATCAAGATTCTTACAAAGTAACCACACAAGCTCAATTTCTAGATCCCTATCTACGGAGCAGCTTGTACCTTTATGCAACCTTACCTTTCGCGAGATGTACTCTCTCAGTCTTCACGAAGTCGTAGCTTTTCTTGAGCTCTTCACCTTGTGGCACCAAAATCCAATCAACTTATGCAAATGATATTATGATGAAGATGATGCAAATCTAGATTCGATTGTCTAGTCAGTTTTACCAGTCAAACACTCGAAAGATGACACTCATGCGAATCCAAAAATAGGTCAGATTAAAGATTTGAAACTTGAAAAGCTTGACCACCAAATTACAAAAAAAAAAACAAAAAAAAAAAAAAAAAAATCATGAAGACAATGCTACCCTAATATGTAGTGATTGGGTGTTTGATGCATGAACAGGGTTTTATGGCCAAGGTTTCAATGAAGAACACATGAGGTAGCTCAAAGCTAAAATCAACTATTTCCTGAAAACGTAAAATTTCTAGCCAAACAAATGAGCATATAAAATGAATTTAAGCAAGCAATTTCAAAGATAGGTTTAGAAATATTTAGTGAATAACCTTAACCATAAAATCTGCTTGAAGCTCCCTAGGAGATCTGAGATGGAGATGAAAATAAAGCTCTCAAAAACTTTTCCAATTTCAAACCCTAAAAATAAATGAATCCTAGATTTAGCTTCTAAAAAGGGTTTAATGTTCAAATAGAAAGGGGACCAGAAAAGCCACGTCTCATGTGCAAAATCAATCTGGAAAGATCTAAGGTTGAAAAACCATTTTCGAGAAAAAGCTGTTTGATGACCCATGTGTGTTGTCTTAAAGTGTGTGCCCAGCTCGCGTGAAAGCAACAAGAAGTTTTGAGTAGACAAAACCACCAGACATAATGAACTGGAAATAATGACATAAACGACATATGAATGAACAAACCTTTGTTGAGAGAAGTTAAGCTCTTGAAATGATGGGAACACAATGAGGCATCCAGCAGACTCGAGTGTTTAGAAAGAATTTGACCAAATGTAACCTAATTTTGCTAGAGACCCATGAAATGTCCGGTTCCTTGTAAGTGACAGGTTTACTCCTTTTTCGAATATAAGCCGTATAGTATGTGGCCAGTTGTTGTATTTCCATATAATTTACCCTCATGGAAATGCATGGAAAAACCCTTTTCTTTTCTGACCTTGTTAATTCCTGGACCAAAAATGAGATTTATGTGTATTTGCGTCCATTGGTTGATGAGCTTAAGGAATTGTGGGAAAATGATGTTCAAACCCATCATAAGATGAATGGGAGTACATTTAATTTGTGTGTAGCTGTTATGTGGACCATTAACGACTTCCTTGCTTATGGAAATTTATCAGGTCGGAGCACTCATGGTAAGTTGGCATGTCCAATGTGCAATAAGGATGGATCTTACACCAAGTTAAGAGACAAGTATTGTTATATTGGGCACTGTTACTACTTACCTATAAATCACTCATGGCATAAAATTACTCAACTCTTTAATGGGGCTAAGAGATGAGACATCGTCCAAGAGAATTCTTAGGTGATGACATACTTGATCAATTTGATTACCTTGTACCTCGTACACTTGGTAAACATCTTACTAATAAAGATAAGAAGAGGAAGTGGAATGCCGAAGAATTAAATTGGACAAGGAATAACATTTTTTTCGAGTTGAAATACTGGTCCAAATGAAGATTAGGCAAAATCTACACATTATGCATATTGAGAAGAATATATTTGATTGTTTGATAAAGACATTGCTGAATTCGGGGAAGTCGAAAGATACCCTTACGGCACAAATGGATTTACAAGACATCAATATTAGGGAAAGTTTGCATTTGAAAGTAAATGCATGAAATATATTGGATAAGCCTTTGACTCAATACATGAGTGTAAAGATTTCTTACATTGGTTGAAATCACTCAAATTTCTAGATGGTTATGCGGCAAATATGTCACACAAAGTGAATGTGGATGAAGGAAATATATTTGGTTTGAAGAGCCACTATTGTCATCTGTTGATGCAACATGTGCTTCCAGTGGGAATTCAAAAACATTAGAAAAAACATATATATGGTCCAATTGTTGAATTTTCTAATTTCTTCCAACAAATATATGCAAAGCCTCTGACTGTTACTAATCTTGATAAGTTGGAAGAAGACATTGTCCTCATATTGTGCAAACTAGATAAAATTTTCCCGCATGCGTTCTTCGTTCCCATGGTTCACTTAGCAGTGCACTTACCATGCAAAGCAAAATTAACAGGACCAGTTGGATATCGATGGATGTATCATGTAGAAAGGTAAATTACATGATGTTTCCGTTAGTTGCATAAATTTTTCTTTCTACGTACTAACAATTGTTCATTTATCTAGATTGTTGGGTTCATACAACAAAATTTGTTCGTAACAGAGCTCGTCTTGAAGGCTCTATTGTGGAAACACACGACATATGAGTCTTCAACTTTTTTGCTCAATGTATTTATATGACATTGAGACAGAATTCACCCGATCAGAAAGAAACGATGATGGTAGTGATCCTAATGCACTTTTTTTAGTGTTAGCTCAAAAAGCACGTCCATTTAGTGCTCATGTATTGGTTGAACTTTCAAGGGTAGATATAGAAGTGGCTTATTGGTATATCTTGGACAATTGTGACAAAATAGAAGACTTCATAATGTATGTGACAGTAATAGTTGAACATTTATTTAAATATTTATAATTCCACAACTTTCACTTATATTTTATTTATTATGCAGTGAGCATATCGAGATTTTGGAAAGAGATAGGCGTGCTGGTGTACAAAAGAGGTATAGACAGTTGTTTCCGGAATGGTTTAGGCAACGGGTCACGTCATTTTTTTATCAAGAGCCTAGGCTGGTTAGTGAAGAGACTTTTTCATTAGTCCAAGATCCATATCAATGTATTGTCCAATACACAGGTTGTATTGTGAACGACATTTGATATTTGGTCAGACATGTTGATCAAAACCGTACAACAGAAAACAATGGGGTAATGACATCAAGGTCGCACTATGGTGAAACATGTAACTTTTATGACATCTTAGTCAATATCATTAAAGTACAATTTACTAGAGGTTCCAAGGTGATTCTTTTTAAATGTCATTGGTGCAATATAGATACAAGAGGTAAAAAAAGTCATACGGGATTATTATCTTACATCATTGAATGTAAATAATTGTTGGTACGATGGTGATCCGTATGTATTAGCTAAACAAGCACATCAAGTATTTTACATTGATGAGTTAAAGTTTGGTCATCTATGAAAGTCATGTAAAGGATTCAACACAAACACATTTGGGATGTTCATGAGAAAGATGACAATGACACTGACGAAGATGATGATCAGTATGTTGATGAAACTGAAAGTTCTATAAGACTGGTTCATAATGACGATGAAGTTGATATATCATTATGTAGAGATGATGTTGATCCAAAATCTTTTGATATTAAAGACAAGGAGGTTCAAAGAATGCTAGGGCTACAAAGGGATGGGGAGGAGAAGGAAGAAATGGACGAGAAAGAGAAGGAAGAAAATATGAGGAAGATGAGGAGGAGGATAATGATGAGGAGGACGATGAGGAGGAGAATATTGCAACGTATGATACTAATGATGATTATAATTAATGACTATGGTGAGATCTGTGCATTATAAGTTAATATTCCTATCCTACAATGGTAAATCTATTTGCTTATAGTTTTACAAATAGTTGTTATGCTTATAATGATTTGTATATATTAACATTTTGGTTGTGACATTTACTTTTCTATTTCATATTTAGATGGCAACTTCTATACAGCGTGAAAAAAAGATGAAGCGGGTGAGGGATCCCTTACCTCCTCCTCCAAATGATGCACTTGTACCACCACCACCTCCTCCACCACCACCGCCGCCGCCACCACCTTCTTCATATCCTATAATAGTAAATCTATTTGCTTATAATTTTACATATAGTTATTATGCTTATAATAGTTTGTATATATTAACATTTTGATTGTGTTATTTACTTTTCTATTTCATATTTAGATGACAACTTCTACATAGGGGGGAAAGAGGGTGAAGCGGGTGAGGGATCTCTTACCTCCTCCAAATGATGCACTTGGACTGCCGCCACCTCCTCCATCACCACCTTCACCTCCCCTAGCAAACACTAACCTAGGTAAGAAAGGCTAGTTACAATTATTTACTTTTTTCTTATTAACGTAGCTTTAAACAACTCATTACATTAATTAGAGATACATATATTTTTCTAGAGATAGATTTTGACCTTAATGCAAAAAAGATGATATGTGGAAAGTCATGTGGGAAAGGCATCCAAGATATTTTGAAGGCTAATAACGGGCAGAAGATGCCAGTCATCTTTGGTTTCAACATCAAGTTCCAAGTGATCCGGTAGCATCAAGTCTTTTCACGTCCGAGGGAGGGAATATTGTTCGAACTTATTCACCAGTGTGCTATGAGAGATGGATGAAGGTCCCAGCTTTATATAAGAAAGAATTGTGGAAGAAGTTGCGGGTGAGTTTTAATTTAATTCAATTTAGTAATTGTAGTTTCAAGCACTCACTTGCATATATTTATGTTGATAATAGGTATTATTTGTTGTGGACCTATCTCATCCAAAGATGCTTGAATATGGTGTAAAGAAAATGGCGAAGTTGTACTCTCAATTTAGGCACCGGTTGCATCGGCACCACTTGTCATGTGGAACACCTGCGAGAGGACGAGCTAAGCTTCTAAATGATCTGATATGGAGTGGGAGACCAAAGAGTCATTGGGACTGGTTATGTGATAATGTTTACCCTGCTACACTCTTTTTGGTATGTATTCTATACAGTCTTTTCTAGTATAAGTCCAAGTTAGATACCAATTTTTTATTGTATTGTGACAACCAATTCCTAATTTTATGATTTAATTAATTTTAAATGAGTGAATTGATGAAAATGTCCCTAGAGATGGGATTGCTGACTTTTCATTGACTGTCATTTCGTGACATGTACGAGTTATTGTTTTATTGTATTTTTGAAGCACTCGACGGTATGATGGACAAGCGGAATCGAATTCGGAGTTACGATGAACATTCTGTGGAAATACGAACATACGTGAGGGTACTTTAATTCTTATTAGAGATGTAATCCTATTAGGGTAAGGATTCTACCTATCCTAATACTATAAATAAAGGCATAAGGGGGTGATACAATACACACCTCAGAATTACATATCTCTCTGTTGCTGCCGGCCCCTCTCCCTCTCTATCCTTTATACAGTTTAGTCAAATAGGCCTACAACAGTTCCAATCCTTTAACAAACGTTCCAAGCCTTTAACAAACAATGTAAATTATTCAACAAATGATACACCTAGTTATTGTTTCGACATGCGCAGCCTCCCACATGGAGGAGAGATGCTACAGGCCACACTTTTGAAGTTCGGCATTTGAGTGAGACATGTTATAACGTCCAATGAAGGGCCAACAAAGGATAGCAAGACACTGTCCAACATAATCGATGATTTTACCCATTAGACATTTTTACACAATTAACTGGTTAGCCTTCTACAACTTCCACAGTTTCAAGATTGTTAGTTGGACATGCATTACGTAGTCTAAGTACAATAGCACCAACTGGTTGATTGTTAAGGACAGAACAGAACTGAAGTTGGAATAAAGGGATTCAATTAAAAAAGAATGGAAACGTCAAGCTCTTACAAAGTAGTAGCATCAATTCCTTTTTTAGTTTTGGTTTATGACGTTTTTTGGATATCAGAATAATTCTACAACTGCAGGAGAGAATCCACAACCAACCAAAATATTTCAAAACAAGTCTACGGTTCTTCAGAATAAATATGGTTTTTTTAATATATTCTTGTCAGCCTAGACAAATCTCCTTCAAAGCTCCAAATTTGATCGACTAAATTTTCAATCAAGTTGGCCATACATGCCCTACCAAGTACCAACTATCAAGAACCGAAAGAAGATCCTTAATATTGCACATGCATGGTTCTTGAGTCCAATGCTGCCAACTCATGATGTCAACAATGTATAAATTAAAAGACATATTCATTGAGTATTTTTATGCTGAAGTGATTGGAAAAAGAAAGCACACTTATTGATCACGTGGGCTTACTTGTGGTTGAGAAACCCTAATGCTAGCTTTGTGAACTACGCGCGTGCAAAAAGTTCGGTATATATCAATATTCATATCATATATGGTCATAGTAAGATAGATCGTAAGAGGTTGATTAACAGAGAAAAATAAAAAAATAATAAATAATAAAAAAAATAAAAAAATAAAGGAAAGAAGAAGAAGATATAGCAGGTCCTTTTTAATAACGATAAATTTTTATTTTTTTTATTTCTATAAAGAGAGAAGGGAGATTTGAAACACCTTTCAACATAGTTTGTACTATATTATAATATTAACTTGTCACATTATCGATCACATCTATCACATAAAACGTGAGAACTACTTATCAATATTGCTTCATATTACTGTGCAAAAGATGTCATGAGCATGGTGCACATGCATGTAACATTACTATTGTACTATTTGGATTTATTTTATTTTATATCGAAGTTCAAGTGACATAAGGTAAAAAGGATATGCTAGATCTGAGGAGCCAGATTAATTTTGAGCGTAAAAGGGGTCAATGTTCTTCATTTCCTAACGTAATAAATGGGATCGAAATAGGGATCTTGGACAAAGTCTTATTGCAGCCGTAGTAATTGAGCTGGCCTTTGACAAAAGACAATGTGGTAGTTTGAAGTAACTACTACGTACGAGCATATCTGGTGGTAATTATGATATTCCATCACGAATATAAATTTCCGTTGTAGATTATTCGCTTTTAACAATAGGTCAAAATTTGACCGTGGTGGATTAATGTTATCTACCACGAGTTAAACTTGATTGTGGTAATTGAATAGTTTTTACCATGAGTTATATATGCCCGTGATAGAATTGATGTGTTAGATGAACTGTTTTGTTCTAGTGAAAGAAGAAAAATGTGTAATATGGGAATTAGAAAGACCCCTCTCAGTGAATATATACATATATAATAAATATATAAAATATGCTTAATTATTCTGATATGTAGAGATATATTGTAGTTCTTTGTTTTTTAAGTCAAAGGGATATGTAGTTCTTGATCAAATGCAATTTGTGTAATATGCTGGAACCGCATCGATACTATAGTGATATATAATTCAAAAGATGCATCATGCATGATATGACGACGATGCTTTAACAAGCACGTTGAAAATATAGGTCAGCCAAGAAAACCAGATTCTCATTATTCTGTTGATGACCTAAACTTGAACGAACGATCATGCTTAAAGGTCAAAAGGAGAATACTCGATGCTTCAGCAAGCATCAAGTACTAGATCGGAAATATTAGTAATTTTCAAAGCGATGGAAATTGGAAAATAAAATAAAAAATAGAAAATGGAGATAGAATCATAGAATATTGAAGGAGATATGAAGATAGTGTGGTGGGTGTGAACATGGTTTAGTTTGATGCAGTTTTGGCGTAAAATTAAAATTTCAATCTTATAATGTGAACTAAAATGGAACCAAATCATTTGGTTTTGGCTCGGTTCGGTTTCAAACGGTTTTTATTTCAGTTTGAGCCTAATAAGTATTCAACATTTAAACAAACTCAAAAAGTTCAAAACCTGCTAATTTGCAAACTACATGCTTTATGACATTAATACAACCCAAAGGACACAAAGTTCATCATCAAAATACCTTATGGCATTAGTACAACCCAATTGAAAAAAGTTAAGTTTACAATACTAAAAATAAAGTTCAAACAAAATTCTATGTCAAAATACCTTATGGCATTAGTGCAACCTAAAAAAATAAATTGTTCATGCTATTCAACATAAATGTGGTGTTTCAAGTCACTACCTTTAGTCGTTCAACCCTTTCCCTTTTCCTTTTTTTTTGGAACACGTACTCTTCGAAGATTTAGGGTGAACGGGCTTCAGAAGGCATTCAAGTTTTTGAAGGCGATACTTAGGAAGACCTTGGACCTCGTAAAAGTGAAATCGATGGATGAGAAGTCATTGAATCTTGTGAACTAGAAGTTTGAGATTGCCTTGGAGCTTTTTGTTGTGATTGTGGATTAGGAATAAGAGAGGTGATGCTTGAAATCGAACTGAACAACACCAAGGGAATCACCTGTAGAAGAGTCAGGAACCCCACTATGCTTTCTGGATTCTTCAAATCTTAACGAAAAGATAAAGTCACTAAATTATATCTGATACAAGACTCTCATGATAGGGATTCATTAATTACAAAGTTTAATTGTTTACTACGTTACGAACATAACAATGATACAAACTCAAACCATTAAGCATCAATCCAAAAGTACCCAGTGAAGAACAATAGAAACTTTTGCAAAGAGCAGCCTTTTGCAATCGATGCAAGATTCACAATGAATAGCTTAAATATGTGTTTGTGGAAATTCATCATTTATTTTGAGCTAATGGCAATCGGTTCATCAATGCATCTTCCACCTCTCACCCTTGGAATAACAGAGGTTAAGATCAAGATCATCAATTCATCATCCACCTCTCACCCTTGGAATAATAGAGGTTGAGATCAAGATCATCAATTCATCATCCACCTCTTACCCACGGTATAACAGAGTTTAAGATCAATATTACAAAGATCCCCTTTTAGTTCATTTGATTCAATGAACCCTAAAATTAATGACAAATCTCCACCAATTGTTCACAAATATATAACTAACTTAACTGACAGAAGTTCTAAGTTCAGAATTCTTAACATATTAGCACGTCGGAGGTCCGAGTTGTAAAGAAGTGGAGGAGTCTCGACTTTGGTCGCGATTTGCAGTGACAGAGAGGATGGGAAATGGGTGGATTTTCGAACTGGGGATGAGGCTGAGGGCGAGGAGCGATTCGTTCGAAGATTGGTCACGATTGGGGCGATGAGATGTGTCTGTGTAAATGTCAACTGTCGAGAGTCGGATAGTCGAAGTCTCGAAGACTCGATTTGGTTTCTATCTCTGATTCTCTATTTGGGTCTGGACATGTTACAATGTCGTTGAGTCCATACTAAACGTATGGGCTCAACCAAATAACCAATTTCATTACGACACATAATTCAGTATTAAATTAAGTTTTTTTTTTTTTAATATTA